TTATTCCACTGAGCCATCTCCCTGGCCCCTTTATTTTATTTTATAAGAATAAATTTTGTAGTAATTCAGAGGGGCTGACTGGTAAATTTTCTGGGATCTTTGCACATCTGAAAATCTTTATTTGGCCTCTTTGTCGCTGAAGAACAGTTTGGCTGGGTATAGAATCCTGTCTTTCTCCTTAAAACTTTGAGGCAGTTGGGTCCTTATATTCTTGAATCTGATGTTGCTGATAAAAAACTTAACTTAGGACAGGGGACCTAGCTCAGCGGCACAATACCTGCCTGGCAAGCTCAAGGTCCTGAGTCTGATTCCCAGTACCAAAACCAAAACCACCTTAATTTACAGCTATTATACGTGATCTTTCATCCTTTCTTTCTTTGGCACTTAGTATTTTTTTCTTCATCCTGAGAGGAAATGTCATCATAATAGCACTCAGTGGGCCTTTCAAATTAGGAGTCATGTCTTTCTTTAGCTCTTGGGAAATGTTACTGTTTCTTCAAGTACACCCTTCCGGAAGCTCTCTTTACGCTCTCTTAATTCCTGTCTCTATTTGTTAATAGGTAGGTGTTTGTGCTTGTCTAGCTTTTAAGTTCTTCCTCACATTTTCCATCTCTGTATCTTTCTGCTTCTGAGAAGCATCACAGACTTCTGCCTCATCAGAAACCCCTTCGCTGTTTACCGTGTGCAAGCATGCGTGCATATGTGTGCATGCGTGTGTGCGTACGTGCGCGTGTGTGCATGCATATGTGTATGTGCGTGCGTGTGCATATGTGCGCGTGTCTGTGTTTTCTAATACTCAAGACTGAACCCAGCCAGGGCCTTTGCACTGAGCCCTCTCCAGCCCTTTTTCACTTTTCATTGTGAGACAGGTCCTGTTCAATCACTAAGTCACCCAGGCCGGGCTCCGCCTGGGATCCTGCTGCCCAACTGCACAAAGGTCCCTGGCTGTGCCCTGGTCTCTCTCACCTGATGCTGGTGCCAGGCTTCTCTTCCGCTGCTAAAGCCACCTTCCATTCTCTGTCTGGCTCAGCTAAGGAACCTTTCAGAGCTCAGCTGGTGGCCCTGCTCTGCCGCGCAGCTCTGTGCCCCTCACCTGAGGGACCTGTCATCCCGGGCTCCCGGCTGTAGCCTCTCTAGCCAGAGCAGCCTTCCGGGGGCGGCAGCCGCTTGCTGTTACCCATCTCACAGGAAGTGCCCGTGACAGGAATGACGGGCTGGAGGCCAACAGGCACGGGTGTCCCCCTGAGCTAGCAGGTCTTGGTGGGCCCCTTCCCCACCGAGAAAGGGTGCACAGGATTTGCGGGGGCGCCTGTTCCCTCAGCTCGGTTGCCGGCCTCAAGATCCTCCAGAGCAGACAGTGCTGACGCGCCTCCCGCTCTCTCCACAGGCACTGGTGCCATCACACGGTGACGCGGACGGTGTCCTGCCAGGTGCAGAACGGCTCGGAGACCGTGGTCCAGCGCGTGTACCAGAGCTGCCGGTGGCCCGGGCCCTGTGCCAACCTCGTGAGGTAAAGGCCCTGGGCTGGCCCCTTGCCCTTTCTGTGCCTTGGGGAGGATCCACTGCAGCACAGTGCGGGCCAGGCGGGGTCGGTGCTTGGAGACCAAGCACACATTTATAGAGCACTTTGTGGGTGCAGGTGGGCGGTATGTGTGGGCACAAAGGCGAATGGGGCCTCCATCGCGAGAGAAACAGAGATATCACAGATGCATGGGCGACAGGACCGAGGCAGCAGGGAAGGGCACGTGGGGTGAAGAGGGAACTGGCCGGCTTTGGGGCTCCAGACTATCGTATGGGGTGTTGGGGCTTTTAGCCCCACCCCTTACAGCCCCGCCCACCACCGCCCTACCCCCTCAAGCCCCGCCCACCGAAGCGCCACTCTCTCAGCCCCGCCCACGCCCAGCTTCTCCTCTCACAGTTCTATCTGCACCATTCCTATCTTTGCCTGGCCTCAACCACAAATGCGCAACCACAGGAAGACCCCTCGGATCTCACTGCCAGGTCTGGCCTTCAGCGCCCCCAGCCTCTCTACTTTCCCCCGCTCCTGGTTCTCCTCCAGGCGTTGCAGCTTGGAGACTGGCTCCCCCACCTGTGCCCCTCAGCAAGCCACCGTGGGGCCTCTACCTCAAGGACGTCTCCCCATCTCTGCTGTCCCCACACTCTGAATCCCGGGGTGCCCTGGGGGCTTCGGGAAAACAACCAGCAGGGGCTGCAGTCGTTTGGGCGGGGCACTGTCAGCCGTTAGGACCTGGCATGGAGAGAGCAGGGTACGGAGGTGGCGTCGAAGGCTGGCTGCGGGCAGATAACGCGACTGATGCCACCACTGGCTTCAGTGTCCACTAACCGTCGCTGGGCCATCATAAATTGGGTGCATTTTCATTGCTAAAAATCGAGGCTGGGCGGACAACTGCCACACAGCGCTGCCTGCGCGGATCAGCACCCCAAGCCTCTGACCTGGCTTCCAGCAGCGGCAAGTGTGGAACCCACAGAGAGGCAGACAGGACCTGCCTGGCTTCGTTTTGTTTTCTGAATTCTCATTCTACATTTGGTTGTTATGATTATGAAGAAAGGTGATCTATTAAAAATCGCAGTATTACAGAACTGAATATGGTACAAAGTGAGCTTTCTCTACCTCCTCTACTAATATTTCCATCCCAGATATTTTCCCCATTCCAAATGCTTTTCCCCACTCCAGATTCCATAAGTCCTGGAACTGTCTTCATTCCAGACATTTTTTTTCCTTGTATTTCATCCCAGAAAAATATTTTGGGATCATTTCTTATGGAGTCACCTTTTTAACACCTGTATAGTATTCCATCATACGAAAGGATCATTGTTTATTTCCCATGTCTTTGGCTGATAGATATTTAAGGCTTTCTTAGTGTTTGCTGTTACAGACTAGACATCAGTGAGTAGCAGTTTGTGGGTGTGTATATATGTTTGTACAACTTTTTTTTTTACTTTTTATTTTGGAATAATTTTAAGTTTGTAAAAATAGTTACTGAAGTTTCTCTATATGTATACCTTCCACCTGGCTTCCGACTGGCCTTGAACCCACTAGGTAGCTTGTTTCAATCTCACAGTGATCCTCCTGCCTCAGCCTCCTGAGGTGTGCACCATCGTGCCTGGAGTAGTTTACAGATGCCATTAAAAAATGTCTTCAATAGGCTGTGGGTTGAATCTGAAGGTGTAGAACTGTGAAGGAGGGCAGCCATTTGCGTGCTGTGGGGGAATATTTTGAATCTATATAATCGCCTGAATCTCGTATAGGTTACCCACTGATTTTTGTACCCTTCCGGATTCTGGCCGGACAGTGATTACTCTGGTGCTTGCTAAATGGCCATTTTCTATGTTTATTGTTTTTTAACAGGAAACTTCTAGCTGGGTATGTGTACTGCACACCTGTAACCCCAGCTACTCTGGAGGCTGAGGCAGGAGGATCACAAGTTTGAGGTCACCCTGGGCAACCTAGTGAGCTCCTGTCTCAAAAAACTAAAAAAAAAAAAAAAAAGAAACCCCAACAAACAAAAAATTTTTTAAAAAACAAAAACAAAAACCAAAAAAAAA